GTTGCAGCATCCCGGGGAGGGGGGCAATCACGTGACCCCCCCTTTTGCCACCACCTGACCACAAGCAGCGGGGAAGCCCGTTTCGCTTAACGACGGCGCTGCTAACTTCACACGGCAGTGACTCGCTTAACGACCGTCGCAAGGAAGGTTGTAAAACGGGGCCAAACTCCACGGAACCCAGGTCTCGCTTAGCAATGGAGATGGTGGTCGTAAGTCGAGGAGTAGTCCCCGCATGAAGAAGCCCTTTTTTCTCTCTCTGGCAGATCAGGTGAAGAGGAAGATCCTCGTCCTGGACCTGGATGAGACGCTGATTCACTCCCACCACGACGGGGTCCTGAGGCCCACCGTGAGGCCCGGCACCCCACCCGACTTCATCCTGAAGGTGAGACTCTTCTGGAACAAGCGGACTCTAGAGGGGGGGCAGGCTTGAGCCCCCCGCCCCAGGGTCAAGCTGCTTGTGGAAGCTGCTGGGTCCAAACCTGGAGGTCCCCTAAGGTGCTCTTGACCTGGAGACTGGGACCAGCCAAGGGATCCAGCGGCTCCCATCAACTTTTGAGGAGTGGGTTTGGGATTTGGGGGGGCGGGGAGGGCCCAGGAATCTGGTCTGACGTGAAACGGTGCCCCAGTTCTCGAGAGTCAGTCGGTCCGTCCGGTGATCTATCTAATCTATGTATCATCTGTCCTCTGCCTGTCATCTGTCTGTTGTCTGTCTGATCATCTGCCATCTACGTCTCTATCATCTGTCGGAATATCTACCTACCTATCATCTATCATCTTTATATCTTTATCATCTGTCTGATTGTCATCTATGTCTCTGTCTACCATCTATCGGAATATCCATCCATCCATCCATCTATCATCTCCAATGTCTATTTCTCTTTATCTATCTGCCTATCTATCTATCTATGGTACCTTCTCTATCTTCTCTGTCTATCATCTCTTCTGTTTGTCTGTCTATCTCTATTGATCTATGACCTCTCTGTATGTATGTATGTATGTATGTATGTATCTATCTATCTATCTATCTATCTATCTATCTATCTATCTATCTATCTATCTATATCTCTCTGTCTATTTCTGTTTATTATCTATCTATATCTCTCTGTCTATTTCTGTTTATCATCTATCTATATCTCTGTCTATTTCTGTTTATTATCTATCTATCTATCCATCTATCTATGGTACCTTCTCTATCTTCTCTGTCTATCATCTCTTCTGTTTGTCTGTCTATCTCTGTCTGTCTGTCTGTCTCTCTCTCTCTCTCTCTCTATCTATCTATCTATCTATCTAATCTCATCTCTATATCATCTCTCTATGTATCTCTATCATCTGTCTGTCTGCCTGTCCTGTCTGTCTGTCTCTCATCTAATCTATCTAATCTATATCATATCTCTATGTATCTCTATCATCTATCTATATCTATCTATCTACTTATCTAATCTATCTATATCTATCTACTTATCTAATCTATCTTTCTATCTATCATCTATCTATCTACGTACCTACCTACCTATCATCTAAATATCCTGATCATCTGTCCAACATCTATCAGTCTATCATCTATATCTAACAAACCTCTTTCTCTCTCTCCCTACCTCCCTACTTTATCTATTTACCTATCTATCTCTAGCCATCTATCATCTATCTATCCCTATTGTCTGTCTGATCATCTATCATCTATGGTTATCTCTATTGCTGTCGATTATCTGTCTATATATCTTATCTATCCGTCATCTATCCACCTCATCATCTGTCTTAACCAATCTGTCTATCTTATCTGTCTCATCTGAGAATCGCCCATCTCCCTCCCACAGGGACTCTGGGAGTTGTACCATAAAATATGGAAAAGCATCCAGACAGTCTATAAAATTTAAAAAGAGGGAAGGAATGTTTAAAAAATGGATTAAAGGGCAGAGGAGGGAAGGCTTTCCGCACGCCGTTCTGCACGTCCCAAGCAAGGCCGCAGAAGGACGGGGGAGTGTGTGTGTGTGTGTGTGTCTTCCACAGGGTGGGGGCAATGGCAGGGATGGCTCTCCTCCTGGACCCCCCCCCCTCAAAATCAGAATTCTTTAGTCCTGGCGACGCAGTGGTTAGAATCCAGCATTGCAGGCTGACTCTGCCCACAGCCGAGAGTTCGATTCTAACCGGCTCCAGGCCGACTCAGCGTTCCATCTTTCCGAGGCCGGTAAACTGAGGACCCAGATTGGTTTTTTTTGGGGGGGGGGGGGAAGAGACTGTAAACCGCTTAGAGAGGGTTGTAAAGCACGGCGAAGCCGTATGGAAGTCTCCGGGCTATCGCTGCGCCTTCCCTGCCTGCTCGTTGGGACGGGCTGACGGGTTCTGCAGCTGACCTGGAGAGACTCGGTAGTTTGGTTCTGGGAAATGGGGAGAGGGTGGCACGGTTTCCTGGCTTTTGCCGACGCGATTTTGCGGCTCTTTTGCGTCTAATGACCCTGTCTCTCTTCCCCAGGTCGTCATAGATAAGCATCCGGTCCGCTTTTTTGTACATAAGAGGCCGCACGTGGACTTTTTTCTAGAAGTGGTAAGCCCCCAGCGTTTGTGTGTGTGTGTCTGTGTGTGTCTGTGTGTGTCTGTGTGTTTCTGACGAGAGCGTCTTGGCTACGGGTGCGAAGAACCGCCTCGAACACACACACACAGGCAGGACGATTCCCCCGGAGGACTCCGGCTACGGAGGTGGAAGGCTAGACAGGCCAGAGGAAGGGGCCCTGCTGGCTGTGGCATCTTTACTGTTCCCGAAAAACCACATTGGGGGCGGGGGGAGAGGCAGACAAATCTCGGGACAGGTTTGGAAGTGGGCAAAGCGGGAGGGTGGGTGTCAGGTGGTCCCCGGGGGGGGCTCTAACTGTGGGGAGACCAACCCTTTGGGGGTCCAGTAGCCAAAGCGGTCAGGAGGGAGTCACTCCAGGGAAGTCTGCTCCTGGTCCTGGAGGATCTTGGAGGTCTTCTAGTCCAACCCCCTGCTCAGGCAGGAAACCCTACACCATTTCAGACAAATAATAATAAGAACAACAACAACAACAATAGTAATAGAGTTGGAAGGGACCTTGGAGGTCATCTAGTCCAATCCCCATGCTCAGGCAGGAAACCCTACACCATTTTAGACAAATGGCTGTCCAGTCTTTTCTTAAAAACTTCCAGTGTTGGAGAAGGAAGGAAGGAAGGAAGGAAGGAAGGAAGGAAGGAAGGAAGGAAGGAAGGAAGGAAGGAAGGAA